TGACAAACATGGTACCCGGGCATTCAGACACCATGGTCTCTGCAGCTCCTTCAGTCTGCTCCTGATAGAATACGGACATTATCCATACCTCCCTTCAAATACTGGGATAGAAATAAACTGCAATGCCATCTGCCTCTTAAGTAGTAATAGTATGGTATGCAGTGAGAGTTCCTGTGTTGTTTCTCGCAGCTGGTAGCACTGCAGAGCTGGGTGAAGGGTCCCTCAAGAACTTGTCATGCAAATGCCAAAAATCTTAGTGTTTGTAATTCCTGACATATTTAGATGAAAGGCGCTATAGAGCTTTCAAGTCAAATATTTTAATTAAACTTGAACATACACATGCAAGCAGAAACAAGTACAAACATTAAGCAAAGTTGATTGATAAGGTTACATTATCAAACAAGAATCATCTCAATCAGTATCTTTTTCCATATTTAGAACTCCATATTCGTCTCTTACACTTCTCAGTTACTCTAAATATGAATAAAGTTGTCTATCTTCCATTCCAATTCTCTTTTTCCAATCCGAGGACATTTTTTGTGACAGGCTTTTCAAACAAAAAGAACTTGCCAAATCTTTCTTCAAGCTTTTCAGATGAAGCATCATCTCAGGTTTTCAGGAATTATGATCGCTAATAAGATACTGCTTCTAATCCAACAAGGAACACTGAGATTTTTATGTATTTTTATACAGATGCATTTATGAAAAAAGCTCATTGTGCAGCTTTCCACAGAGACAAAGATTGTTGTATTCTTGGTGCAGCATAAGAACCAGCATTTTCAGGCCTTTGGGACAGACAAACATCTCTTTGAGCATGGCAGGCCATTTTCTGGCTAGAGAGAAATCACCCAACAACAATATAAGATGACTGAATGATACAGAGATTTTAAGATAGTACCATTTCCCACAGAACCTCTAACTAAATGAAAAAACACGTTCAGCACATTTCTTATGATATTAAGATATTTAAGGTTGTAGCTGGCACAAACCTGTTCTTCCAGGACTAAAGACACTTCTAATATATTAGCTTACGGAATTCAATTGCACTTGGTTCTGGAACTATTTACCAACAGACTGATCACAGAAAGCCCAAATGAGACCACCACAAACAGCCAAGGTGTTAGAAAACATGCCCCATGAAGAGGGAGTGAAGGACATGAGTGCTCAGAAACAGTTAAGAGATCTTTAAAGAGAGAGCGTGCCACGAAAAGGGATATAAATTCTTTCCCATGCCTCTTGAAGTATAATACAATTAGTCATAGATTCAAGATTGCAGCAAGAAAATGTGGTTGGTCACTGAGAAAATTCTCCTAAATGTACAGGTTAGACACTGGAACAGATGGCCAAAGAAACCTCCAATAATGAGATCTCAGAAAAAGGATGGTCAAATCTGTCAGGAATGCTACAGAATTAATTCCCCCTTCAAGAGAGAATAAATTATTTCTATGGTCCTTTCACCCCTATTTTCTATAATTTTACAATCACATTCTTAAGTGTTTTACTAGGGTGTTTCTTCCCAACAAACAACATTCTACAACCTCACTGAGTTTATTGTTTTGCATACCTTTAGGATTGACTTCAAGGCTCCTTACCAAGCCAGGGAAATCTCAGATGTTTTCTTAGTAAAATATACTAGTATGAATACTCAGCAAATATGCTGAACTCCTATATCTGGAAAGGATGGTTCTGAAGACATGCCACACAAACCATAAAGCAGACCAGATCCATCAAAAGACCTTGGCGCCTCCATGAAAAAAAACACCCAGACCTCAAAAATACATCTGCTAAACACTAAGCACTGCCTCATTTTCCAGGAACGTAATATTTAAAGGAGTAATTAAAATTGAAAACTATTCACTGTACTGCCATTCCTCCATTCCTGCATAAATTACAGGAGTATTAGAAAGGGATGGGCCTATCAGTGAGGGGGGGGAGTTTGTTTTAAAAAGCATCAGACAAAAATCTAATGACAGTACCTAACATATGTCACCTTGATATGCAGACTTAGTATGACATACAGGAAATGCTGAATCATTTTCTACTTCCCTTTTCTTTAAGTATACGAAGCCATAAATTAAGGCATCTCATGCATCAGATGAAGTGGACAACTGAAAAAATTTCTTGGAATTTGATTAGTAATTCTTACCATTCCATAAAAATACTTAAAAAAGCAAAATCCTCTCAAGAGAGAATATTGTGGAAACGGATGAAAGGCCATTTTACCTTCTTAAGTAACAAGGGATACTTCTACCTGGAGGTCAGAGATCCTCAGTAGTACTGCAGTGCCCAGCAATACAAATAAACATAGTTAGCAGCTTAGACTGGGAAAGATACTGCCCTCAAGAGAAGAAACCATTCTCTTTTGACAGTATTTGTACACCATAGATCTCACCAATACACCAAGCACCCCTTCTTAACTGTTGAACAAAAAAACATCACCAGCAATGCAACACCATTTAATCCTGTTCTACAGACGGTCCTACAAAATCTAGAACAGTCCTTGGTACGAGCTCCTGGTTTAGGGCAATTTGCTCTAGATGAGTTAGTATGGGTCTGGCCTCAGTCAGCTTCTTCAACTGACAGCTCTACTATGGTGCTGTACCACAGCTGGTAGGCTGAAAGAGAAGGGACTTTCCAAGTCTTTACCAACATGCATCAAGAGGGCTTCAAAAAGGAACGTGCACTGTGTCTAATCGTAAGCCATCTCACTCGTACATGGGTATTCAAAACACCTCCGCGCAAAAGAGCTCTAGAAAGCAAAAAGGTGTGATTAGACCGAGAGGAATGGCAGGGCTGCTTAACTGCAGGACCAAGTCAGAGCGTACAGATAAGAGATACCAGCCATCTCTTTGGCCAAAGGCAGGGAATTAGAGGAAGCACTATTACATGCTAAGGAGAATGGCTAGGAAAAATGAGACTCTGCTTTTGCTTTATATTTAGGGTTGAGGCAAAAGTTGTGAAAATAAATAAAGCATGTGGCAGGACTAAACACTAGAAATGAAAATTAAATGTGATTTGTGATCTTTGTAGTATTCAGAGTCCAAGCAGCTTTTAATTCTTCTTTAAAATCCTGTCAAAATAAACAAGATTGGCCCCACTGCTGCTCAATTTTTTCTTTTTCCTTGTGTGGTTGAAGAAGCAAAGTCAGAGATTCAGCTTGTCACTAACCGATTAAAAATTAATCAACTATCTTGATCAGTGTTAAACAGCTAATTGCAATGCCTGCTTTTATTCTTCCACAGTTGGAAGGAAAACTTAAAATGTCCATGCCAATATGAAAAAAGTAACAAAGGCTACATGTAAAGAACCTGCCTTACCTTGCTAAAACCTCAGTATCTGAAAGTTAAGGACAGAGCAAATCTGCTTCTGTATACAATGAAAGAGGGGTTACACATGCATTTAATGAAGCTAATTGCTCTTGCTTACCATAAGACTTATCTGAAACAAATACTTTATGGTTTTCTGAAATAGAGCATTATGTTAAAAACTATTTCATTGCAAATGTTAGTTTGGACACTGATAACCATTTGTTATGAAGAGCTGTATACAGTGGTGACTGGCATTGCTTTGTTTCACCACATAATAAAAAGTTGCGCATGATTGCTTTATTCAATTATTCATGAACAACAAACCTGTCATACCTCTTGCAGGCCACTGGGATTCCTGCAGACATATTTATTTATAAGTATTTTTAGCCCCACAGAAGAAATTTCTTTCAACTTCTTGTACTTTATTCTTCTATACTTAAGTTACCATGTCTGAGGAATTAGACATCCCCCAAGTCAGGTTGTTGTCAGCTCTATCTAGTCAATAATGTCCTTTATGTTAATATTGTGAAAGACCACATGGCCATTATGCAATTCACAATTTTAAGTACATTTAAGTTTTATGAGCTGTAGAAAAACATTTATAAAAATAGTTAAGACTTCGGCATTTCAACTTCCTCTCCATTTCTACAGAGTAAAGATTAGCCTCCAAGGCCTTGTTTAGTCCCTGTTAACACACTGTTCACTTCATTACAGATTACAGCACTTCTGCAAGTTTCCCTAATTAACACTCTGAATAATTTAAGAAGGAAGCATTAAGAAGCATTCTTCAAAAAAACCCCTCCAATGTACCACAGCATTAAACCACATCACATCCTTCTTTTCTCCTCAGCATAAACCCGAGGACAGATTTCACACCTACAGCACCATCTTGCTATGTCCCCTCATCTCGGTTTCTTCAGAATCCTAACAAATTAACTTGTCTTTTCATTAAGACAGAAGAAATTTGGTCGAGATACTTTCTAACCAAAGCCCCAGATCTTAAATATGTGCACTGCCATCAAGACCAGCATTGTGAGTCCTCACAACACTGGTGCTCAAGGGACACTCCGCAGATAATAGACCCCTCATCAAAAGATAAGGAAATCTCATTTAGATGCAGAAGTGAAATGATAACGTTTTAAACCCAGCCTCCAACAGAAAACATCCCTGTCCAATATACTGCTTAAATTAGTTTCACAACATGCTTCCCAAGAAAATAAAAACAATCTTCCCTTGAGTACAGAAACCACACTAATGCCAGCACCTGCACACAACTAAATTAGGTGGCCTCAACTACCAAATAAGCAGATCCTAGCTTTTTAACCAAACCTTAAAAACAGTCATCCAAATCCATTTGACTAATTATCAGAAGTACCAACTGTAAGCAAAAGGTGCTCAGTTGAGGAGTCTTTCAGACTCAAGTTACAACGAACTTAAAAGAAAGGAGTACTATTTCAATGTGAGTTCAGTGATAACTGCCTGGCAGTAAAGCATTACAGCAAACGCCGATTTCTGAATAACTGCTAATAACTTACAATTCTGAAAATATAAAATAAGGATTATTAGGTCTGCTAAACCCGCTACTTCCCCCATCAGCTTAGGCCTATTTTTTATTTTGGGATTACACAGAATGAAACACACAGAACCAAACCACGACGACACACACACACGAGATGAGCCTCGGAAACTTACCCCTCCTGACAACTTAATCACCCTGACTTTGCTGCCGACATGGGGCCCATCTCCACTACCACTGTTTGTCCGCTGCATGACAGTCCTTTTCACGCCAGGTTTCAGTTCCTGGGGCCTTGCTTGTGCTGAAGCCACTCGAGCAGCCTGTGTCGTGGGCGGCGATGCTGCAGCAGGTTTTGTCTGTAGTACTTTCTGTGGCGCCTGAGGCTGACTCGGAGGTACTGTCCTAGTCTGCCTCAGCTGCTTCACTGCCTTCATCTGCTGTCCTTGATACGGCATATTCGCCCCGACCTGTGGGAAATCTGTGGGTTTGGGTTGGATGTTTGGAACTACCATATCTTGCTTTTTAACAAGGAGTCTGTTTTTCACATTTTGCCTGGTCTGTAAGCCAGAGTGGGGTATGTAAGGGCTGCCGTTGGTGGGGAACTCAGAGGAGTCGTCGTCCTGCTGCATGTAGGACTGCTGCGTAGAAGGTTGCTGCTGCTGCTGCTGCGCAAGTCTTTCGAGCAATTCTCTCTTTCTAGCACCAGCCTGCTGCTGCCGTCTCAGCTCCTTTTGTTTCAGAATTTCTTCTCTTAGACGCTTCTGCTCTTCTATTTTCAAACGATACAATCTAGTTTCTTCATCTTCGTCTGGATACTACAAAGGAAAACACAAATGAATTCATAAAATTCTCAACAAATGCCCAGCTTGGTCAAAACAACATTACATCGTTGTTTCAGATGTCGTAAAGCTGTAACTCTCTGAAGAACTTTTTAAATTATCCCCGATACCAAACTAAGGCTATTAGTGAAGTATATCTGCTGGTAAGGTTTATTTGCTATTCATTACAGACAAACAGCTCAAATCTGGTTTAGGACTTAGATGCACTACTTCCTAGACAGAGGGGGGTGGGGGAAACGGGGTGGGGGGAAGGAGTTTTAATACCAGTTGAGAAATCTTATCAGAATACTAAAAAAAAAAGTTGTTTTACAAATTGGAACTCATTTAGAAGTTTCTAAAAGCAATTAAACTATTAATATAATTCAAGATATCAAAATATGTTTCAAATGGAAAGTAACAATACGGAGGCAACCCACTGTCACACAGGTTTTATCTTGCTCTTTTCTGACAAAGTAACAAAAGGTAGGGTGGTAAATGACCTGAAAGGCCCTGATTAGAACTATTGATTTTTCTCACAGAATTTTCAGCCTGATCTCAAACTCATTTGTCACACAATAATTGGTTATAATGAACAGCGCAAGTCAATCTCTCTGACCTTGAACTCATGCACTCTCTTCAGAATCAAAATGTTGCCAAATGCAGTGTTGGAATATTAATGGTATATAGAGAATGCCTTTAATATTCCAGCCCTGGGCCCTTCTGACAATATTACACACCATCAAATAACCTCTCTAAAGATTCTTCAACTTTGGCACAACAGGTTCTTATGAAAAACTGTATGAAATGAGCAAAAGTCAAGGAAATGCAGATTCTCATCATCCTAGAAAAGAAATCAAATTGCTCGTGATACAATCTCATGCATTTTCAAAATTACAAAGCATACTTTTTCATTATATTATTTTTTATTTTCAACCATTTGAAATATTAAGTTAGAGACTTGTAGAGAGTGCTTACAGATGGTAATGTGCATAACATTCTACTCAAGCCCCTAACAAAAACAGGCTCTCAAAGTAACAATACTTTGCATTTTGGTAAATTACAGCAATAAAGAATGCTAAAATGTTTCTCAAATGCTGGGAATCCATGAAGAAGTTATTTACCTTGAAGTAACTGGGTGCCAGCTCTTGTCAACACAAATGTCATTTTTTGCACATACAGGGCCCAAATGTGCAACAATTTTTTTTTTTTTTTTTTTTAAATTCAAGTCCTTTTATCCCTGGTGCATCCCAGAATCCTCCCCAACCCAAGGGAAAAAAAAAAGGGGGGCAGAACAGATCCAACTGCAAAGTTAGTTCACAGATATAAAAGCCCAGTAGAGGAGTATTTGTACTTGTAGAATGTGCAAATCCTGAATGCTTGTTTCCTTCAGATGTAACTGCTTCTTCCCTGAGCAGCTACAGATAGGGATTATTCCCACAGTGACTATGGAATAGCCACATGTCTCACACCAGAATTCCAGCCTAAACAACAGCTAAAAATAAGACTTCAACAAAACTGGATTTTAAAATTATTTTTAATATGGGCTGTATTTCTGAGATGAGGTCTAACACTGTCCTTTTTTTAGGAGAATGCTTCATATACCAAAGGGTTCTGATCTTCCTCTGTGCTTTTCAGACTATGATGGTGGTGATTAATGGCTAATCACTGTAACAACTAGATTACAGGTCTTCACTGATAGATGGTAACAGGAATGTACTTCTACAAAGTAAAATGGGAAGTAGTAGGAAACTCAAGTATTTCATCTTAAATTGAAAACTGGAGATGCTGGATTGTAGTAAAAAGAAAGAATAGTGCCCTTACAAAATACAGTAAAAGGCTAAGACTTTTAAATATAGTTTGCGTAGGATGACAAAAAAACAGATAAGCTCCAGATAGGAGAATGTGCTGTCAAGCAGATCCTCACGCAAAGAATAAAATTTTCAGTCACTTTCAGAGACAGTGAGTATCTCAGTTACAGAAATTGTCCAAACACAAAACCTCTTCCACTTAACTTAATGAATTAGTTTATTCACTTGCTTTTTTAGATCAGAATATTCTACACAGACACAGTGAGTATCTCAATTAGAGAAATTGTCCAAACACAAAACCTCTTCCACTTAACTTAACGAATTAGTTTATTCATTTGCTTTTTTAGATCAGAATATTCTACATTTTATCTAAATGGGTTTGATGGATGCCAGTGAGCCAGTACCAAGTTTACCTACGGAGGTAGCGCGTTTTTTTTTTTTTTTTTTTTAATGTTCAATTGAGGCTGTCAATACCAGCAAGAATCTGCCTTAGACCAGCTCTTCTCTCAGTTGTCTTTTATTACCAGGTACCTGTCTGCTCGCATTATCATCTAGCCAGTTCTGAAGGCCTTGGAAGATGTAGATCATGACCTAGTTAAGTACAAAACACTAACTCAAGGGCTACATATAGCAGCACAGAGATGTGTACTTTGTGGCACACTTATAAATGAGTCTTGCCAGCAGACAAGGAATGAACATTCTGAGGGACTCTGTCCAATATGTCTGTGCAGCATGGACAGATACACTGATTTAAACTACACTAGCATTAAACACAGAAGACAACTGGCAAACTGTATTACCAACACATATGAAGTTAGACAAATGCTTAGTGGAATCTTCAGACAACTTGATCTCAAATATAATCTGAAATTTTCCTTTCAGGAACTCAACTCAATACTTTAGAAATCAGTACAGATCCTATGAAGTCAATTCCTTCTTAACGGGTAAGCTTTGAAATCAAGGTCCAAGAGCTCTGAGGTTATATGAGAACTGCAGATCAGCCCATTAACAGGCTATAGGTAGACCTAAATCCTTCATCTTCATAAGCAAGTTGCTACTACTGTTAAGTTCTCAGCAAGACACCCTTGCAGCTAGAGTAAGACCAAACAATATAATGACCCTGTGATCATTAAAAAAATATTTGAATTAGGAGTCAGGTTTAATTGGAATTAGTTGTGCAAATGACCCAACAGTACAGATTCAGAATGGGCAACAAACTCCTCACTACTCTGAAAACAAGGGCAGTTAAGTCCTCTGCTGCTTACCTTTAAGAGCACCTTATATATACTACACTATACTACAGTGTGTGTGTATATATATGAGACCTATAGTACATATAAAGGACCTATACTGTGTAATAAGGAGTTTCATCATACAGAACAGGCAAGACAGTACCTCAGGTCAAGATGGAAACAGCATGCAATGCCTATTGCTAATAATTTTCATCCCATTAGTTTAATAAGCCCAGTACAGATTTCTCCAAACTGCCAAAAAAGAAAGCAACTGGGAGAAAGCAGACATCCTTCAAAGATGTCAAAGTTCACAGCTTGTGTTCGGGAGTTTCCTCCCAAAAGCAACATTATCTGTAGTGAAAAAGCAGAAGAACTTGAAGCAGCCTTTTTCCTAGATAAGCTCTTGACACTTTACCTTTTTCTGTAGAAAATCCCACAACACGAAGAAACAGTGTATTGTATATGGCTCCTCCTTTTACAGGAGGCTACAAAGTACAAGGCCAGAGAGGCAAAGTAGTTCCCTTGGTTTTGCAGAGGGGTTTTATGTTGGGTGTGGGGGGGTGGGGGTGGTTGTTTTTGTTTGGTTGTTCTTTAGTTGGGTTTTTTGTTGTTTGTTTTGGGGTGTGGTTTTTCACTTTTGGGTTTTTTGTTTGTTTGTTTTTTTAAAGTGGAGATTCTCATCTGTCTTTGAACAGTTCTTGAACACAACATATTTCATTGTAGTTTGAAGGGAAGACCAAGCCTTAACTATAGGTTTTCTTTTGCCTTAAGGTCCAAAAAGGCTTTGATGGCAAGTGCCAAAAGAAGATGTTGCAGGCTGCTTTTCCGAGTCTAACTGAAGAGCAGCAGTAAAAGAAGCAGCAGTCCTACATCATTCTCCAGGAGAACTTAGAACTGCACTGTTGATTGAGGGAAAGACAGCAAAGACACACTCTAAAACAAGGGGTTAAGTTTTCTTCTGTAATTTAAGTCCTAGTATCAGTAGTTTGGTTCTTATATAGTGAATTATAAAAAACCCCAACAACCCACACCTTTCTAGAGGTCTGCAGGCTTTATTACTAGTTAATAGAATTAAATGCAGAGTCCTAAGTACCAGATACTGTAAGTGTTCTGGTTTGCTATCAAGGAACAAAAGAGGAATCATGCAACCAGGCTCACTCGTGTCCCTCAGTAGAATGGGTGCAAGGACAGAGCAATCAAAATGGTTTGATCTGTGGCATATATATATACACCAAGGTATTCAGCAGGTTTATCTTTATTTTTTTAGTTGTAACATTGGAAGCAAAAGAGGCTAGAATCATTTGTCAAAAAATTCATGACAAGTCTTCATAAAAGGCCAGATCCAAATTACTCCATTTGGCTGCTTGTGTTCAAAACCACAAAGTATCTTAAATAAAGGCACCTGCACACACATCACACATTTCACATTACTGATGACATCAGCTCCTGAACCCTAGGAAGGTATGAGTCACCCCACAAAACACAGGTGCTGCGCATCTTGGACAAACAGGAAGAGAATTAAGAACAAGGTTACAAGTTACTTTGAGAAGCACACTGCCCTCTTGCGATCTTCCAACTGGAAAAAAGACTGTGATAAGAAGAATCTTCTAAGAATAAGACAGGAGGCACCATTATCAAAATTTGGAAATCAAACCTACTTATACTGGAGAAAACTCAAATTTAGACATGTACAATTTTCCAGGTAGTTATTTTGAAAAAATATGGAAAGAATTTAGATACATTTGCTCCAACAGCAATGTAGCAACTATTTTCCATATTGCAAGTCTTTTTTTTAAAAAAAAAAAAAAAAAAAAGACAACAGCATTAAACCCAACAACCCAACTTCAAAATTTACTGTATTTGGGAGAACAGAACATGAAGGTTTTCTTTCAGTGCATCAGGGACATTAACTGCAATATAAGTAGTAGTATCAGTACATGTGTGTACTGTATCATGCACAGTAATGCAGCACTCTACTAATTTCTCTCCTGTCTGGGTTCCAATATCCATTTCTTCTAAAGAGATTCACATCACCTTTCTACATTCCTCCCCCTTGTTTAAACTCAAAAATGCTTAATGTTGCCTTAATTCCTCTTATCCTAAACTGACCTCAACATGAGCAGAATTAGGCCCACAGTCATCACCCATACTTTCCAATTTCATTGACAAAATTTTTCAGACTGAGGATATGCAAGTTTAAATCTTGGAGAGTAACAGCTATTCTAAACAAAGGCATTTAAAGACAGTATTTTGCAGCCTCACAGGAACAGGAACACAAGCATACCATTAGTAAAGTAGAAATACAGTTTTTAATCTTCTAGTCACTCCGGTTACAAACCTTTCAAATATCTATTTTGAAGGTGAGCAAAACCTTTAATAGACAATCCTGCTATTTTTTTGGTGCTTCCTGAATGATAGGGCATTCATAAATATGGCCACTGATTCTTTGGGAAGAAGGATGCAAAGAAAAGTCTTAATAATTTTCCAGTCGAAGACACTTGCAAAATAACCTGCCCAATTCAGTTATGAGCAATACAGCTAGAAAAGATGACAGAACTTAACTCTTTCTCATCTTCATAGAAAGCAAAAGAAGAGGACGAGTTAGCAAATTACAAGAAAAAACACACAAAAAAGACCAGAAAACATTACAATCTGCCTAAGGAGAGAAATATAATAACCTACATTACAACAATAGAGAAGAATATGATTAAATGCTTGGAAATGAATATTACAAGTGCAGCAATGCTGTTTGTAGAAGTGACAATAAGTGGCATCAGTGAACAAGACCACCGCAGTGGCACAGCTGAAAAGGGACAACTGCTATTACACCACTGTTTGCGGCACAAGGCTCTATTTCAAGTCTGCTTTGAAAGAAGAGCTCTGTGTGCGCACACATTCACACACTTTTCTAGTACTTGCTCAGTGTATCTACAAAGGCTTTGCTTTTACAGTTAACAAGAGCAAACACTAGGAGACACCATTTTTTCCAAGGCAACTTTTTTTTTTTTATCCTGTTTTGCAAAAACTTAAATGAAACAGGTATCAAACTGTTTTGAAAGATAGCTTTGACACAAATAAAAAGAAAGCTTTATTTGTAAAACCAAGAATTCACATGAGTAAGATTAATTAGCCTTATAACTACAGGTTTGTTGGGATATGTTTAAAACTTAAAATGGAGAGAACAAGATGACCACTTTGTTTGGGTTTTGGGGGATTTTTTTTTTTTTTAACTCATTTCATTAAGGAGCAAAAAATATTCATTCATTTTCCTAAACACTGTCAGAGATATTTTGGAACTAATGCCTTGATTTTCAGATGACTAAACTATGAAAGAACATTAAGATGCTTTAGATGGGGAAGCCTTTAGCTGGTTTGCTTCAAAACTTACCTTACCAGTCCTGAAAGACAGAGGATTCTCTAAGAGGTACTGCATTTTCTGTGACAGATTATTTCAAGAGACTGAACTGGGGGGAAGCGAATTACTTAAGTCAAAAAAGATCAAAATTAAAAGCTAAAAAGCTGCAATAAGGTTTGGTGGGTTTTTTTAATATTACCATTGAAAAGCAAGTGCACAGGAGGTCAGGCACTGCTAGCTATGGGTTTCTTTTGTGCCTCATTTGTGAAAATTAGTTATGACCATCCCTAATTCAAGAACAAGATGAAAAGCCAATCATGAGCAGCTTAAAGGGAAGACAATATTATCACAATCAGAGCTTTCACGAGTTGTTGAAGAAAACCTGGTTCTTGAGACAAGATTCATGGTCAACTAAACTATGAAGATTTATGGTTTTCCTCAGAATAACATGACACTCAGAAATTATACAGGGTGCACTTAGCCATCATGTTCCTCTGGTACCTCCTGATGCTGATGTTCACCATCAGTGCAATCCTACCCACTCTCTCAAACTAACAGTGCTCATGGAGAGTCGTCTCTAGTTTCCAGGAGGATCTGTGCAGGGAAACAGTCATCTGTTCACACTGCACGATCCAGTGGGGCCCAAAACACTGGCATCTCAATTTTGATTGTGCAGCGTACTAGCAGAGCAAACAGCATTATTTTCTCGAAAATTAAAAACTTGAGAGCATCTCCTATTTTCCCTCATGTCAAAAGGTTTCATAAGAGAGATTTTCTTCTTCAAGAGCAAGAAGCTCCATGGATGATGCAGCTGCAACCTCCTGCATGAGTGCTCAAGACCCTAGAGGAGACTGGGTGGCCTAAAAGAAAACAGCATGAGGAAGACAGCTTTCAAATATCTCTTTTCTTCAAGCCATAAAGCATCACAGGAAATTGAAGAGAATAGGTTTGCTGACTTAGGAAGAAGTGATTACCTGAAAAAAACCCCAATCATAATCGTGGAAGACAAAAATGGGCCCAATGGATATTCCACAGGCTTGGATCATTGATGATCTTTACACAACCTCTGTCTTTTCATAGTAGAAGTCACTCCTCCTCCTCCTGCAAAACAGACTCACCACAGCCCTGCCAACCTTCCAGACTTCTTTCTTTAATCAATGGAGATTGGGTTTGCTATCACATTAAAGAGGAAATTACAACTAAGAAAGGAGGCCTCTAGTGGCACCAAAAATATTGGGTGAGTAATACATTAAGTGTGCTTACTGTTCACAAGTCAGACTAGAAAAGTTTTAAAAAGATGGGAGGTTTTTTGTGGGTTTTTTTTGTTGTGTTTTGTTTGGTTTGTTGGTTTTTTTTTTTTAAATTAAAAAAAAAAGGCCTTACCTCTGGTTCAGATTTTACTTCTGATTTTGCTTGGCCCACTGGTGTGATTGCTTTAGCTTTCATCTCGGGCCTTCCCTGCGAGTTTCCAACACCAGCTACAGACTTGGTGGCAGACATCGTGCTGGTAATGGGTTTGACCTGAGCAGCTGGGGTAGAGGTTCTCCTATTGTTGCTCATTTCCATAGCATGTGATGGTGCTATCGGCAACTCGCGCAAGTTACTATTTCTTGGAGCAGTTGACTGTAGCTGCTGATTTGGACGCTTGACAATATTTTGTGATGGTGTATTCTGAAAAGAAGAAAATTTTAAAAAAACACAGACTTTCACTACAAACCAGACTAAAGTGTTTCCTGTTTCACATTTTCATGTTTTAGTTAAGTTTGTGAAAAAAAGCTTTTCAGAGGCACAATATTTTCAATGCAAAAAGTCACAGAAATGAGAATATTTTAACAACGGTTGTATTTTTCTTTAATTAAAAGCAAAACTGAATCTCACTTGTTTAATGTCTTTCCCAGAAATTGGCTTCACTGTGTGATTTATTTTCCTAATCACAGCAGTTATCCTGAATGACAGTCACATTGTTTTGAGCACTGCTTCAGACTGTTGTGCTACTCCAACCTACCGAGCAACAGAACATACTGCACTGGAGCAAACTCAGAAGACATGAGTGGCACTATCTGAACCAGAAAGCTTATTAGCAGTGATACAGAGAGGCCTTCAAATTGAAAGACAGTGTCAGAGAACTGGACTCCAACACAATCACAGGCTATCAGCAGTTTTAAAATCTTATTAAGCAAACCTATCCTCCAAAACCCCTTTATTGCCAGTTCTTGGGCAAGTGCATTATCTCTTATTGGACCCAGATCAAGAAAAACACTGAAGACTGGAGGAGAAAAGAAAATGGGAAAGATACACGTGCTATTTTTGGATATAGGTTATAAAATAATCAAGGCAGAAAAGGAGCAAGAAATGGTGCAAGAAGGTGACAGAGCAGGACGGAATAAATGGGACTGAAAAACCGCGCTGGTGACTTCTGAAACCTGTGCTTACATGCTTGTGACCCAAGCAGAACTATGCAAGGCAACACCAATGTACGTGGTACTTACGTGTCTTGGCTTCATTGGACCCTGTCGCGGCTGACACTGCATCCTGTTGTTATTTGGCTGCTGCTGTGTGGCCTGCATATGAGGCCTGAACTGTGGCTGATTCATGGGCATCAAGGGCTGCGGTGGCCCTTGGAGATGATGATGGTGTTGCTGCTGCTGCTGCTGGTGATGGTGCTGCTGAGGCTGCTGGTGATGGTGCTGCTGCGGCTGAGGTTGTGGCTGAGGCTGTAATGGAGGATGCAAGGGACCCTTCACATGAAGAGAAAGATTATTTGGTTTTAGTTTCAAGGTAATAAATTCCTGAAAAGTAGCTCCAGCCTCCCAAGTCCTAAATACATCTGTAAGCAGCTATGGACCAGGCTAAATAAAAAATATACTGAGTAAAAAAAAACAGAGTAACAGCAGCTGTGCAAGGTAGTTCTACACTTAAACTTGTGTAAGGCAACAGCTGAAATGGAAAGAGACAAATGCAAGGGTTCCTGCCCTCTGCCCCCTTCTCTAATGACTTTTAAACTGTTTGGATTTGGGTGG